CAGTCTTCAGAGAGGACAGAGCCCGCTTTTTTTTTTATTCTCTGAGGAAGACCTGGGGATGAGCTGGGCATCTAGGAAAACTGCTGAGTATAAAAGGGACAGTTCCTCCTTGTTTGGAGAATTTTTTTTTTTAAAATATATTTTTATTGATTTTTTACAGAGAAGAAGGGAGAGGGATAGAGAGCCAGAAACATTGATGAGAGAGATCAATCAGCTGCCTCCTGCACGCCCCCAGTGGGGATGTGCCCGCAACCAAGGTACATGCCCTTGACCGGAATCGAACCTGGGACCCCCGAGTCCACAGACCGACGCTCTATCCACTGAGCCAAACCGGTTCGGCTGTTTGGAGAATTTTACAGCCTTCTTACCATTTGGGTTATTTGCATTTGGGAGAAGACCTGGGGATGAGCTGGGCATCTAGGAAAACTGCTGAGTATAAAAGGGACAGTTCCTCCTTGTTTGGAGAATTTTACAGCCTTCTTATCATTTGGGTTATTTGCATTTGGGGAAAAATAGGGTGTTGAGTGGGTTAAGGCCAAGGTGAAGAAGGGCTGGGAAGTGTTTTTCTGGAAAAAGGCTCACCTTAGCACAAACCTGCTTGTCTCCCTAGTGGAGGTAGCTGGGTGTGAATAATGAAGGTGTTGAACTTTGCATCTATAGGTGCCATGAATTGGTCTTATTAACTTTTGCTAGGCCCCTGACCCTTTGCCATTTTTTTTTTTTTACGGGTAAAATCACACATGATTTAAATTTCAAAGACATCGTTTTTTTTTTTTTTACGGGTAAACTCACACATGATTTAAATTTCAAAGACATTGTGGAAAACATGATGCTAATCTCTGGTAGCACACCCAACCCTCTTGCATACTGATGGCTATTGGTGCCAGGCCATATTTACTACTAGAAAGCCCATGTCTAGTCTGCTACCCTTAAACCAAGCCACCTCCTACCTGCTACTGGAGTCGAGCTAGCTGAAAAGTTAAGCTAGTTTTATTTCAAAACCCGAGCTTCAATTCAATCACAGGTGTCAGTGGGACTTATTTCGAATGCTTAAGCCCTAGTTTTAGAGTCTCTAAGGGACTAGTAGGATCTGTTATTACTAAAGTCTGACCAAGAGAAATCTGGGTAAAGGTGAGGTGTTCAGAAATTTGAGGTGAGCAGAAATTTGGCTTCTAGAGACCAGAAAATATGCAAGGTATAGAAACTATATTTTTGGTTATTTTGCAGGGTGGGTGAAGTGAGGGTTTTGGTTTTGATGTCTGTCTGCCTCTGTCTGTGTCTGCATAGCTCCAAATGATAAAGAATTCACTGTAGATAAATGGGTAGAGCTGGTCCCTTTCCCTTCTTCTGTGAGATGCTAACAGCCAGGCTGTCCATCTGGATGGGGGCCCAGAAAATGTGAAGCTGGGTATTGAAAATAGTGTTCTGAAGTGCCAAGAAGCATCAAACTTTTAGTATGTGACTGTAATGAAAACTTTATAAACATGTCGGAGGACTGGATGAGTGGCTTTATGTGGTCTTAACTAGATCCTGGGTGTCCTTTCTTTTTTGGAGACCCAGGTTACTATCCCCTTTAGTGGCTAAACCACTCATCCCCTTGGTGTCTTCTACTTCCTTGCCTTCACCTTGATGAAGACTGGGAAGAGTTAGATGGTGTCAGCAACTCTTCTTTTCCTTCACTGTCCACTCTACCACCAAAGTTAGCTCAAAGTAAAAAGAATCCACTGGAGGTAAATTGGGAGGGCAAGTGTTGGATCGCCACATATAATTAGGTCTCTGGTCAATGTTGCCATAGCACCCTGTACTTTCTCTTTCAGAGTCATCAATTCCGTTGTAATTGCTCAGCATCTGTGTCTTACTTGACTACAAACTTGCTGAAGGTAGGGACTGTTCATTTTGGATTTTGATGCCAGCCCTTAGCATATTTTCTGGTAATATAGTATGTTTTCAAATATTTGTTGTTAGAATAAATGAGTGAGCTAAGTAAGTCTTTTATTTTAGGGATTTGTTGGTAACCACCATGGTAACATAAATATGGGGCAGGAAAAAATTCTAAAATTAGTTTCTGGTCTCTGCTTCTGACTCCCTTTGAGTTAAGGACCAGAGTGAGACTGGAAACCCCTACAAACTAGTCCTCCTTCCAGGCTGGCCCCATCTTTACTCTATATGGTCTCTTCATCTTCTGAAGACACTTCCAAGGTAGGACCAGTAGTGAAACCTCCAGTGTGGGTGCCTGCAATTCCCTTAGCCTCTGCCCTGCCCATGTTATCAATAAATTTGGGTCATATTCTCAGATAAAAGTTTTCTCAAAATCTTCCCCTCCAATTTATGGGTCTGATTGCTGGTAGTTAAAGAGGTGTTAACCCGTCGGTGAAATACTACTTTTCTTAAAGACCTGATTGAAAATTTTCTGCATCTCCCTGTCTCATTTCTCATGTGAAGTCGGCAAACTGAATTCCTACAACTTAAGCTGCATGAAGGGGGGGAGGGGGGATTGTTTTGTGCGCTGTGACACCTCCGAGAAGCGTGCCTAGCACACATGAGTCCACCGGGAGTACTCCTGCCCTTCACACCCTGCTTAGACAGGACCAACCTGGACCGGGATAGCACTGGTCCACCCACTTCTCAGAACTGAGCCACTCAAGTTTAGGGTTTAGGCGGGTCAAAGCTGACAAAACAAAACAAACCTCTGAAACTCTGTCGCACCAAACGAGGTGTGGAGATTCTGCAAAACACGTCGCGCCGCGTTGAGATAAATCTCCTTTGGAGGGGAAATCGCATTTCTCTAGGCACAAATGAAAGTGTTTTTGCACCGCCGGCAGTGCAGCGGGCTGCCAATCAACCAGGTCCCGCCTTCTCAGGGCCACTTCCGCTCCTCGCGGTTCCTATACTGAGGGGCGGGGCCAGCTTCTGGTGGTAGGAAAGGACCGGCCTCCCGTCGAGCGGGCTGGTGACGTCATGGAAGGCGGCGGGGGTCGGGAGGAGTCGCGTGGGGCATGCGCAGTAGACCGGCTCTGCCGACCGGAAGCCGAGCGGGCGGGATTTCCCGTGGGGCGGCGGGTTGTACGGTTCGTGGCTTGTGTGGCGGCGCGAAGGGACAGGAAAAAGAAGTTCCTGAGCCCGCGAACCTGCAGCGGAAGTGGAAGGAGAACGTATGTGTGTGATGCCGAGCCCTCTTTCTGGTTTAATAAGTCACGATAATTGGCTCCGAAAAGGGTGTGGGCATTGGAGTGAGCCCTTCCGCGGAGGGTCCGTGGATGTCCACCAGGAGGGATGGCGGAAATTAAAATACCACCCTCCTGCAACTCTTACACATTTCATTTATTTACTTTTACAGGGTGAGATGGTTATCAGCCCACATTCTAGTGTATGTCAGTTTCATCAGATGTCTATTCTCAGAACTCTGCTGGCGGGAAGAGAAGGGGAAATTGGCGGTGGAAAGAGTACATTTGGAGCCTAGAACTCTGCCTCCGAGGGCAGTTTTAGGTGAAATGCTCAGAATTTTGCAAGAGACTGTCTTGCCTCTTCGTTGCCCCAAACTTCTCACAGTTTGAATCAGAGAAAGTAATTTACAAAAGCTACAATTTAGAATAGAAGCCAGAAAGAATATAAACCTATCCCTAAATCCAGAAAGACACGTGTATTTAGGGCTCAGGGAGATGGAGTCAACCGTAGAAATCACCCCATCTTGCCCGGCCTGGGTTAGCATTTCAAAGCATAAGGAGGGACAATGACCTTTGGAAGATGCTATAAGCCGGGGGAGGGCTGTTGGCAGGTGTCCTGGTATGTATGTCACTGGCTGGTTGTTAATAATCCCCTGGCCCTGCTTTGTTTTTAGGTTCTTCAAGTGTCCGGAGCTCAAGAGATGTGGCCCAGGGGAGGGAACTGTCTCTAGTTAAAGAGGCCATGCCTGATGTTGCTTCCAGATCCCATGTCGACACCAAGTCCTCAGTTGCTGGTGGCAGCTGCTCAGCAGACCCTGAGCATGGGAAAGAGACGGGGCCTGGCCCGAGCTGCCTGCCTTCACCTCGCCGGAGAGGTCCTGGCTGTGGCCCGGGGACTGAAGCCAGCCCTGCTCTATGATTGCAACGGTGCGGGGACATCAGAGCTCCAGAGCTATCTGGGGGAGCTGCAGGGCCTGGGCTTCCTGACCAAGGGACTTCACATCCTTGATATTGGAGGCAACAGCCTGATCGTCATACCTGAACATGTATGTCAGCACCTGGAGCAGGTGCTGCTTGGTCCTGTAGCCTTTGTGGATGTTTCCAGCTCCCAATCTCACCCTTCTATCCGCTCCCTGGACCAGCTTCAGGACTTGAAGTCCCTCATTGCCAAGATCATCACCCATTTGCAGGGGTTGCAGAGGGACCTGTCCCTGGCCGTCTCCTGCAGCAGGCTCTGCTCCTCAGACTGGAATCTCTGTACTGTGTTTGGCATTCTCCTGGGCTATCCTGTTCCCTATACCTTTCACCTGAACCAGGGAGATGACAACTGCTTAGCCATGACCCCACTACGGGTGTTCACCGCTCGGATCTCATGGCTTCTTGGTCAACCCCCAGTCTTGCTCTATTCCTTCAGTGTCCCAGAGAGCTTGTTCCCAGCCCTGAGAGACATTCTAAACACTTGGGAGAAGGACCTGAGGACTCGATGTAGGGCTCAGAATGACTTTACTGACCTCAGCATCTCCTCTGAGATAGTCACCCTGCCAGTTGTGGCCCTCTAACTCCCATGTAGAAAGTTCTCACTAAATATTCAGCTCCAAGTCAGGGATTACAAATAGGCATCATCTCAAGTGTCAATTCTGAGCATCATGAGAACACTAGGGAAGAATGCTCTAGTCAACTGGCCACGTCTGTGACGGGCACGGGAACAGGTGGTGGTGGCAGCATTGGTAGTACATACTTGCCATTTCTATACTAAGGAGTCCTCTTGACTTAACTGAGATGTCTATTCCTTTTTTACTAGATAGAAGATAGAAGGAAAGAGATTGTGGAGAAGGGGAGTGAGGGGGTAGGTGGAGAAGAGTATAAGGGGGAAAATAGCTATTTAAAAAAAGGATTGTGGAGAAGAAGGGAGGTGGAGGACAAGTAGTGTACCCTCGTATACTATATGTATGGTATGGTAATGTTGTAAATATACTCTGTGGGTAGTGTTCACTAGAAAATAGCAGGCCTGGGCATTACTGCATGTTTATATACCTCCAACTGAATTGGACTAAGGAAAGTAGACCAGGATGCTCAAGTGTCATATTTGATGTGATAGGTCGGTCATTCATGAATAAACAATTCTGGGGAACAGAAATTGTCAGACGAAGTTTATTTGTTTATTTTACAGTAGGTGGAAAAAAATAATAAAATTAGAAATCTCAGTTGCGTTGGGAAAACCCACACTTGAAAGTATCCAAACCTTCTTGAGTTTTTTATTGAGTTTTTTGCTTCTAATTTTCACCCAAGGCAGCTGTCAAAAGTTATTCAGATCATCAGGCTGTCCTTGTTGGCCAGGAACACTGCTAGTGCTATAGCAATCATCACGATCAGCATCGATAGCCATCGGCCACACTGCCTCTGAGGGTGGAGGGGGAGAAGAGAGAAGCCATGGGTTGGTTGGAGAAGATATAGGCAAAAACAATTTTTCTTCCCATTCTGGCCCCGTGGGAAATCTTGGGTTGGTGGAAGAGGGGAAGGTTTTCTCTATCACTTTGTTACCTCCCTTGGGATAAAACCACTTTGCTGGTAGTCAGTGGCCCATAAACCAGGATCATTGGCCCAGGGAACCACAGCCAGCTGGGGCCAGGTACTTAAATACTGACAAGTCCAATCAAAAGTGGAAAATAACTCAGCAAAATTGTATTGTTCTCTGTTCATATTCCTTGTTACATTTTCTCTCCTCATTCTGTCCTTGCCACTACACTCAATAGCCCAAAAAAACACCATTTCCTATTTTAGCTAATAGTCCCTTCAGGCTTAAGAGTTGTTCCATGAAAAAAAAAAAAAATGCCCTGGCTGGTGTGCTCAGTAGTTAGAGTGTTGCCCTGTGCACAGAAGGGTTGTAGGTTCGATTCCTGGTCAAGGGCATGTACCTCGGTTGCAAGTTCGTTCTCCGGCCCATTGGGCTGTATGCAGGAGGCAACCAATCAATGTATCTCTCATATTGATGCTTCTCACTCCTCCCTTCCACTCTAAAGTCAATGGGAACATATCCTTGGGTAAGGATTAACAACAACAACAACAACAAAGTTCCATGCAAATTAAGCTGGGGTGCATAAGCCAGTGTTTCTTTCCTTGGTTGCTGTACTGTCGGCATAAACCAAGCTGAATGGGACAGGCTGGTCAGAAGATGTGGCTAAAGGAGGAATAGTCCCACCATCATCTAGGGCTGTATGGGAGGATCACGCTCTTACTCTGGGAGGCAGCTGCTGGCTCTGGTTCAGCTCTTCTCGACAGTGCTGCAGCGTACGCAGGCAGGAGAGGTACTCATCACTGAGGTTGTCTAACTCTGAATGCAGTTCTCTGCACTGCGGGGGAGAATACCACCAAGGTCATCACCAGGTAAAGGAGAAGGCCCCCTGTCAGTTACCCATTCATTCATTTGGAATTTGTACTACCTTCCTTCCTTCCCAGGCCTTCTCAGTGATTTCAGTTTGCCTTTTGCTGTTTGACCCAGTTTGTCTGGAATGTGCTCATTTACATGAGTGATTATAATGCATATTATATATTAATTACTTATAGATGTTATATAAGTGTGTGCTTTCATGTGACAGTGAGCAAGTGCTTTGTAAAGGGGACATCAAAAAAATGAAATTCTTATGGAACAGAAGACCTGGAAGTGATCACAGTACAAGGCTCTTGGTCAGTAGCCAAGGATATGTGTTTGTGAATTTGTAGATAGGAAGAGTTTTGTTACTTAAAAGACTATAAAGTTTTAACATACTGCCGAAACCGGTTTGGTTCAGTGGATAGAGCGTTGGCCTGCGGACTGAAAGGTCCCAGGTTCGATTCCGGTCAGGGGCACGTACCTGGGTTGCGGGCACATCCCCAGTAGGAGATGTGCGGGAGGCAGCTGATCGATGTTTCTCTCTCATCGATGTTTCTGACTCTCTATCTCTCTCCCTTCCTCTCTGTAAAAAATCAATAAAATATATTTAAAAAAAAAGTTTTAACATACTCAGTGTAGCGCAAAGTTTGAGGAGTTAATGTTCATGAAGTGTGTTTGAGTTTAGGTTGACTTACTAAAAGGTAGCTAATAAAACGAATAAGGATTGTATAAGGAAGGAAAACGATAGACAAACTAACCCTAAAGCAAGACAGTTTTTACAGTCAAATGAATACCTGGAGGCATCCAATCACAATGTCTGGTGTTGAAATCCCTGCAGGCTGAGCCCCCCACTACTACCTGAGGTCACCATCTCACCTCCTTTTCCTTGGCCTGGAGCTGCAAAGTCTTCTTTTGCAGCTGGTCTTTGAAATCCCAGTCTTTCTCCTTCCCTGTACCCTCAGGCTCCACTTCGTTAAGGGAGGGCTTTGGGCTCCGCACAGACAAAGCCTGATCTAAAAAAGCAGCCAGATTCTCAGTGATGGTGAGGCCCACACCTCTGAGGAAGGGCCCTGTCAATGAGAGGACCCCTGGGAGTGAGGAGAAGGGTGGGGAGGGAGAAAGAGGGCCTGTCTTTGGTTAGACTTCATAGGATGTAATTCTCTGACTTTTAAAGCACTCCCGTTGGGACCCTGCTCAGACTGGACAGAGAGCTGGAATTTGAGCCCCACTGAGGGCAAGGTTGGCATCTTTTTATCCCTAGTCCTGTCTAATGCCAGATACTTTTAGAGTATACTTCTTAATCCAGTTTCTTTGGTTAGGGGTCATAACCCCCTTCCTTTCTGTCCTTATTTCAGTCATGAGAAGGCAGTCACATCCTAGAATTCATCTTCGTGTGGTTAAAGATGGTTTTTCAGCCACCTGGCAGTCTTAGTCTTGTGAAGAGACCACTGGACTAGTGGTTAAATTCTGCATTGTTGTCTTAGCTGTGTCTTTAATTTGTGTGACCATAAGACCTTCCTTTTCTTATCCATACTATGTGGGTGTCATGATTTCTGCCTTCCATTTACCCAGTGATTGTGATGAGAAAACAAAAGGCCTTGTGTAGTGGTAAGTGAGGAGTTTTTGCCCCTCCATATACATGATGGATTCTCAGGAAGCTAAGGCAACAGACTCTTGAGGGCTGAGAGTGAGGTCACTTCTGCATGCAACATGGTTTAGAGGGGAAGTTGGATGTGATCTGGAAAGTCAAGTGTAAAAATTGACATGCAATCCTGAGTTCAAAATCAATTTATTGAAATGTTCAACACAGACATGTTTTGCAGGGGAAGTAGAAATCCCTTTTCACAGTTTACATACCTCTCAGGGTAGGAGGCTAACTAAAGTGTTCTCAGAGCCAATGATCAGCCCTTAACAAGCTTTCCCAGATCCCTGACCTAACAGATGCCAGAACTGGATGGGACTCCAAGAGGCCATGTAGTCCATCCCCTGCCTCTAGGCAGGCATGGAAAGAGCAATGTCTTAGAATTTGTGGAAGTAAATTTGCTGACCTTTCTGTATTAAGAGTTTCTCCTGCTCTTGAAGCTGTAAGGATTGACTCTGAAGCAGACCTGTTGGAAAACACAAGAAACTTGTCTGTGTTGGTATGTTTACTGCAAAGCGTGGCTTTTCAGCACTTTGCTCAGAACCTTAATTATTAAAGATGTCCCCATCTATTATTGGTTAAATTGTGTTGAAGTCATAACTTAAAGTATCTCAACATGTGATCTTTTTGGAGATAGGTTTTTTTACAGAGGTAATCAAGTTAAAATAGGACATTAGGGTGGCCTAATTGGATATGACTGGCATCCTTATAAAAAGAGGACATTTGGACACAGACATGCATAGATGGAAGACATGTGAAGAGACACACAGGGAAGACAGCAGCTACAAGCCAAAGGGAAGTAGCCTGGAACAGATCCTTCCCTCAAAACCCTCAGAAGGAACCAACCTTGCTGACACCTTGATCTTGGACTCTAGCCTCTAGAACTGTGAGAAACTAAATTTCTGTTCTTGAGTCACCCAGTCTGTGGTCCTGTTATGAATGCACCATCTTATATCTCTTCCGACTATGTCTTTACCTTTAAGTCTCTGCTTAATCGTTACCTTAAAACAGTGGTTCTCAACCTTCCTAATGCCGCGACCCTTTAGTACAGTTCCTCATGTTGTGGTGACCCCCAACCATAAAGTTATTTTCGTTGCTACTTCATAACTGTAATTTTGCTACTGTTATGAATTGTAATGTAAATATCTGATATGCAGGATGTATTTTCATTGTTACAAATTGAACATAATTAAAGCATAGTGATTTATCACAAAAACAATATGTAATTATATATGTGTTTTCCGATGGTCTTAGGCGACCCCTGTGAAAGGGCCCCACAGGTTGGCGACCCACAGGTTGAGAACCGCTGCCTTAGAAGAAAGGCTTTCCCAGATGACCCTGTATAAAATAGCAACATTTTCCTTTAGCCTGCTGTATTTTTCTCCATAGCAGTTCTCACTACCTGACACATTTGTTCACAGAAACTCCATACTTTACTCCAGAGCTTACTTAGAATGTCAGCTTCTCGAGGGAAGGAGCCGTATCAGTTATGTTCATTACTGTATCCTCAGTGTGTATAGCTAGAAGTGGCCGGCACTTGGTAGGGGCTCATGCCATATGTATTGAATACATAAGTGATTTTCAAGTGACTTCTTGCCCACTCAGCGCCTGCTCTGGAGAACCACTGTATTAATGGAATCAGGTTCTCCAGCTTCTCAGAAATTGTCTACTCTTCCTATGAAAAGTCTCTTCCCCTCTTTGGCCCCAAAATATAGTGTTAAAGTGGCACGTGTAGAGTGAGCTCACTTTCTGAACCATTCTAGTGACCAAGGTCTATGTGACATATTCATGTACGTAAAGAGAATATACAAAATAAGAACTACCTTCGAAAACTTAACACTTTAAAAAACCTGTAGTTCTGGGGAAAATGCAGATGGTTGTCACTGGCATGGAAGGAAAAAGGCAGAAAAGAACAAAAAGGACAGGCTAATATATAATGTGTGAAGAGCTATGTAAATGACCTCACTTCACAGAACAGGGATGTCAGAGGTAGGGGAGCTGCCAAAGACGGGACCCCAACCCCTCCTCTGGACAAACACCGAAAGGCCACCTGTGCTGCTTTTCGAATCTGGAAAGGGAACTTACTCTGCAACTGCTGTACTTTGGTCACCAGGGC